AGACCCAAATAAATAGATATTTTGTGCTCATGAATTGGAAGAATATTGCTAAAATGTCTATACTACCCAAAGCAATCTACAGATTCAATACAATCCTTTCAAAATTCCAATGGCATTTATCACAGAAATAGAAAAAACAATCCTAAAATTTGTATGAAACTACAGAAGACCCAGAGGAGCCAAAATAATCTTGAGAAAGAAGAACAAATCTGAAAGCATCATGCTCCCTGATTTCAACCTATATTATGAAGACATGGTAATCGAAACAGTGTAGTATTAGCATAAAGACAGACACATAAGTCAATGGAACAGAATNTCTGCCAGTTACCTGCTAAGTGATCTTAGACAAGTTACTTAACTTCCCAGTGCCTCAGTTTCTTTGTCTAAAGTCATTTTTTTAAATGCTTCCAAATCTTTGATAGAATAAGAGTCTCCACTTCTGATTTTATACTGACCCAGAAATTGTTTTGGTTCTGCATCAATCTAACTTATCTTTAATGATATAATTAGAGATAATATGGATTGAATACGCACATGTATCTCAGTTCGCTCCTAAAATCCTACTCAAATGATGGTAAAGGAATTGTGAAAATGCATATATGCTCAAGGGCAAAGAGAAGAGGAATAAATGGAGGACTAGTAACTGACACATCAGCCTGAAGGAAGCTGACACCTAAACCAAGGATTTACCTCAGTTTTCTCTAAAGCAAACTACCCATCAAAATCATACTGTACTCAGAGACAGAATTTCAAGAAGTTTTGTGTTATGGAGTGAATGTGTCCCCTTAAAACCCATATGTTAAAATCTTACCCGTCAGTGTGATGTTGTTGGGAAGTGGGGCATTTGGGAGGTGATTAGGTCATGAGGGTAGAGCCCATTGTATACATGGGTCTTTATAAAGGCGGCCCCAGAGAGCTCTCGGGCTCATTCCTCCATGTGAGGCCACAAGAAGATGGCCGTCTGCAACCAAGAAGGAGGTTCTCACTAGAACCTAACCATGCTGGCACCCTGATCTCAGACTTCTAGATTCCAGAATTGTGAGAAAATACATTTCTATTGTTTATAAGCCACTCAGTCTATAGCAATTTGTTATAAAAGCCTGAACTGAGACTTTTTTTGTTGTTGTTGTTGTTGTTTTTACAAAACCACAGATTGCTTTACTCTTTTCCATGTCCACAGACTTACATATCAAACAGAATTCTGAATGATAGAACCTCTGGATTTTTTTTAATCAAAATACT